GTGAGGATTTAATAAAATAACATGTATAAGCTCTGGCTATAAGGCCTCCTCCCCTCCCCTCTCTCTCTTTTTGCTCGCTCTCCTCTCAGCTTCTCCACACATGAGGGTGGCAGCATGCTGCAGCCAAGCCTGTCCCCCACCCTTTGGTCCCTCTCCCAGGGACTGCACACTGCAAGACTCCTGTGTTTCCAAACACAAGTTTCAGCAAAGGCTCCTTCCCCCTCGATGGCAAATTTTTAGGCTGTTGAGGTGGCATAAGAGCCAAACACCAAAAATGGCCCAGCCTTGAGAGCCAGAGGAGGGTCTGGAGCTCCAGGCCACACTCAGAGCACTGTCCTTCCACCCGCGTCCTCTCACCTGCACAAGAGCCTTGAGTGTCCGGGGCAGCCTCAGCCTGGCCTCTGTCCTCAGCCTCCGACTGGCATCCAAGAGAGAGTGTGCAGAGTCCGCTCCACTTCTGGGGATCAGGGCCTGGAGGGCCACCCCATTGGCTGGCTCTGGACGTTTGTTAATCATAAACCCCAGGATGAAGGAGCCAGGCTATGATAGCCCAGGCAGCCAGTTCTCCATTCTCTGATCACTGGGGGATTAGCCTGGAGTGAGGGCCACAGGGTCTGGGACCGCTCATGGGTCCTCACGCTTGTGGACGGCCGACACTCCCCCGCCGTGGCAGCTCACCTGGCGCCTTGGTGCGCTCTGCTGTCCACCTCGGCCCCTCCGCACCGCTGCTGTGGACCTAGGGAATGCTCCTCACCCCCTGTGCTCTATCATCACAGGCTGGAGTCCAAGTCCTCAGCCTCAGCACACAAGGTCCTTCACAGCAGGGCGGGGACGGCAGGGGCCTGGCCATGCAGGGCCTATCATCAGGTTAAGGAGTTTGGAGTCTCTTCCAGGAGCAGCAGGAGGCCACTGCTGTGCTTTTAGCTGAGGAGAACAGTAACCAGAGACGGGGGTGCGTGTGTGTGGTTCATGTGTGTTACTCTACCTGCACGTGCAGAATGGTTTGGAGGAGGTGGAAATGGAAGCATATAGCCCCCGCCCCCCAGAGGCTAGTGCAGCAATCCAGGCAAAAGAAGGGCCTCTAGGTACAGATGTGCAGGTTGCTCACTGCGCAAGAACACCTTGCCAAGGAGGGCAAGTGGGGACTAGAATCAAGCCTGCTCTGCTCACCAGACCACGAGCTCTGGCACAGAGCTGAGTCTGGCCAAAGAAAAAGTCACCTTTTTCTTACTTGCTCAAAGGCATTGCTGCCCCCTGAACTGTGCGTCCGATTAGGTTGTGTCTGTGTGAAGGAGGGTTGCCTTGTTCTGTGTTCACAAAGAGCCATGTAGGCCAGCAGGAGTTAGGAGAGAAGTCAGTGGCTTGGGTGTGACCTGGCCTGCTTGGAGGTACATTTTAGGGGCAGAAATGGCAGGAGTTAGTGACGATCCAAGGATGAAGGACGGGTCAGCAATGGCAGCCAGGTTTCTGGCAGGAGCGTCTAGGAGGACACTGGGGAGAGACCAGGCTAGGAGAGAAAGATCATGACGGCCTCAAAGGTGTCATCCTGGCAGCTGGAATCCAGGGCTGGTGGCCGAAGGCTGCCGGAGCTCCAGATCTTTGGCACCCAGCAAGGCCACAAAAGTTTACCAACCTGGGTGCTAAACCATGGCTGTGTTACATCCTTTTCAGTACACTTTTAACATTTTTCTTTAAATATTTCAATGGTAAGCAAAATGTGAACTAGGACTCCGAAGTGCAGTCGAGTATCCTTAATGAGTCTCTCTAATATTAACTAGTCAGAAACCAAATGGTCAAGCTGAGGGGCCAGAGGTCTGTGATCTGTCCCTGCCCTCTCTTTCCTGTATTCTCACCCGGCTTCTGTGGGTCCCTCAACACCCATGGCCTGGGTGTACCTTCAGGCCTTTCAGCTTTGCTCATAGCCTTGAACAATGATGACCAGGATTTACTGACATGGAAAAACAGTTGTCAAAAGAGAGCACCAAGCTGTGAAATGTTATAAAATAGTATGTTTTCATTCATTTTTTGGAAAAACATAACAAAAGTAACTTATACCCAGCAGTATGCCGAGAGAAGGTCTGAATGGTTAGACCAGACGTCAGCAGCGGTCTCTCCGGATGGAGGATCTGTGGGTGATTCTGTGTAAGAGGTGAAGTCTGGAAGTCTCAGCCCAGGCTCTTGGCCCTGCTTTCAGATGATGAACCTGAGGCTTGGGGATCTGCCTGTCTCTGCCTCAGCCAGCTCTTGAGTCTAAAGAGACCCCACTAAGATTGGGCTCTCCTACAGTTAAGGCAGGTGTGTTATTTTATTCTATTATTTTATTTTTAATTAACTATTTAAATGTGTACAATTCAGTGGCATTTAGTACATTCACAATGTTGTGTAACCACCACTTCTATCTATATAAAGCATTTTCATCACCCCTTAGGCAGCAGGCAGGCAGTCCCTATTTCCCCCTCCCCTGAGCCCCGGGCAGCCTGCCTTCTGTCTCTGTGCACTGCCTGTTCTGGTTGTTTCATTTAAATGGAGCCATGCAGCATGGGAGCTTTTACTTTCAGCTTCGTTCACTTCCATTTTCAAGGTTCACCCATGTTCTGCCATGTGTCAGTACTGCGTTGCTGTTTCTTTGTAACACCTTTATTGTGGTATGATTCCTGCACAGTAAACCACACATATTTCAGAGGTACAGTTTGATGAAGTTTGATAGATGTGTACACCCATGAAGCCACCACCACAATCAAGACAGCTAACATTTCCATCACTCCCCAAGAGGTGCAGTTTTCAAACTCCTGATTTATCCCTTTCCACCCCCTTTATATCCTGGTAACCATGACTTTGTTCTCTATGCTTCTAAGTCTGTTTCTGTTTTGCAGATAATTTCAGTAGTGTCCTTTTTTTTAGATCCCATATATAGGTGATACCATATGGTATTTTCCCTTCTGTTTCTGGCTTACTTCACTTAGAGTGACAGTCTCCAGGTCCGCCCACGTTGCTGCAAATGGCATTATTTTATTCTTTTTTATGACTGAGTAGTATTCCAGTCTCCCTCTCCCTCTCTCCCTCTCTCTCTCTCTATATAGATATAGATATAGATATAGATATAGATATAGATATAGATACACATACACCACATCTTCTTTATCCAGTTATCTGTCGATGGACATTTGGGTTGTTTCCCTGTCTTAGCTATTTTAAATAGTGCTGCTGTGAACACTGGGGTACATATGTCTTTTCACATTATATTTTTCTCCTGATATATGCCCAGGAGTGAGAATGATGGATCATATGATAAGTTTATTTTTAGTTTTTTAGGGAACCTCCATACTGTCCTCCATTGTGGCTGCACCAATTTTCATTCCCACCAGCAGTGTAGGAGGGTTCCCCTTTCTCCACACCGTCTCCAGCATTTATCTGTCAACTTTTGAATGATTGCCATTCTGACTGTTGTGAGGTGATACCTCACTCTAGTTTTGATTTGCATTTCTATGATAATTAGTGATGTTGAGCATCTTTTCACGTGGTTGTTGGCCAAGTATTTCATTGCTTTTTATGGCTGCATAATATTCTATTGTATGGATAGACCGCATTTGTTTATCCGTTCATTCACTGGACGTTTGAGTTGTTTCCACCTTTTGGCTGTTGTGAATAGTGCTGCTATGAACATTCTGTACAAGTGTTTCAACACCTGTTTTCAGTTCTTTCAGCATAGACCTAGGAGTGGAATTGCTGGGTCACATGGTCACTCTAACAGTCTGAGGAACTGCCAAACTGTACTTTCACAGCAGCAGTTAGTCTTGTTTTATTATCTGCCTCAGCAGGTACGGGTGTGACCTGAGCACTGTGCCTGGTGCACACAGAACAAGAGACAGCTGTTAGTCACTGAGAAGTTAGATGCCTAACGCTGTGAGAAAGGGCTTTTCCTATGCTGTGCTATTTGATGTTCATGACAACCTAAGCACTAAGGTTGATACTGATGTTTCTGTTTTACTGAGGCCCACAGACCTGAGCTAGCTCACCCAAGGCCCTATAGCACATGGCAGGGTGACCCAAGCCTTGGCAGCTCTGACTCCAAGGCTCCAACATTCTGCTTTTTCCGTGCCACATGCTGACCCCAACAAGCAGGTGTCTGACAAGTGTGTGAGTGTGGATCCGTGTAAAGCACTGGATGCCAGGAGAACCAGCTTTCCCTGGTGGGAGGCAAGATTCACCTCCAAGCCTCATCACGCCCCTGTCATTGGTGGTCAGTGATCAGAA